CCCCAAAACCCCAAAACCCCAAAACCCCAAAACCCCATATTTAAGATATAAAATTGAGGCAAAATTTAAATTTAAAATGGACTCGAATGACTTTGGGAGGTTCCCTCCTCAATTCAACTCAGAAATGAGTGGCAATATTATTGAAAAAGAGACAAGTTCGGTAAGTTTATCAAACAATTTCTTTTTTATATGTTTTAGCGATATGACTTGCCTCCAAAAGTAAGCTCAATGAGCAAACTTCCCTTCAAAGAAACAGACCCTGCATCGAACTCTAATTCCTTCTTTGGACAATCAAATATGGGAACAGAGAAAGATCTTGGAGCTCTAAAGTTAGTCTCTGAACTACTAAATAACCAAGCTGACTGGAAAGAAGTACCTGATATAGTAAAATGGACTATAAAAGCACTCTATGACTCCTCACAGTCTCTCTTGGTGAACATGAACCAAGGAGTATCCAGGAAAGATGTTGATCACATTACAAACATGCTTGTCTCTAAAGATGAGCTCAGGTCAAGCCTTCTGACAAAAGTCAACATCACTGATGTTTCAGAAGCAATGAGAGACCTCCTCTGACAAATTGAGTGCAAAGTTGACAAAGAGTTCTATTCTACAGATATTAATGATAAAGTATCCTATGACGACTTCAAAATTGTCTGCGAGAAACTAGACAACGATGAGTACCAACAAATGGTGAAGAAAATAGATTTTGAAACTCTCCTCACCAACCTCAATAACAAATCCAACTGGACAGAGGTGAACGAAATGCTTGAGAAGAAGGTAGACAAAGAAACTATTGCTAATGCCCTTCAGAAGAAGATCAACAAAACAGATTTCACGGTTTTCCAAAAAGAAATGGATGCCAAAATGGAGAGGCTTGAGGCCACCTTCAAGACCAAACTTGAACAAGTAATCGAAGCTCAAGAACAAGTCCTCAAAATAGTGGAGAACGAAAATGAAATTCATCATAAGAAATTGAATAGAAACAACCCTCAGCTTGAAGATCTTCGTAAAAGAATAGACATGAAAGCTGATAGGAGAGAAATCGATATATTCACACAAGAATGTATGAATAATGTAGACAGGATCAAAGATGAAGTAGAGGACATCATCCAAAACCTCAGCACGAAGCTAGAAACTCACAAATCATCAACAGGTAATTTTTTCCTAAAATTTATAGCATCTTCGCTCTCATCGCTATCTTCAAGCTTACAAGCAGACTTGACTAGCTTATCAAAATCCTTCACCAAGGACCTGACCACGATCACCGAGAAAGTTGAAGAAGACCACAGCAAACTACAGAAAGAGACAAAGAAACAATTTACTAGTTTATCTGACAAGATTAGTGATTTCCAAATAAAAATAGATGACTCTTCCTCTCAAAAAGATCAAGATATTATCGAAAGAGTGGTAAATCTTGAAGTAGCGACCAAGAGCCATAAAGAGGACATGAACAAACTAAAGATAAAGTAAGCCTTGATTCATATCGGTAGGGTTAAAAGCATCCCTGAGATAGACCCTCTTACCCAACTCAAGCAGCTGAGAGAGATTCTCACAGAAACGAAGAAAGAGATCATGGGAGATGTGTACAACTGTCAGAAAGATATCGACTCTCTTAACTCCTCCAAGCTAAACTGTGTGGAGTTCTTTGAGTTCAAAAACTCCACACAAGTGACAAACCGCAAGCTTGAAGAAGTACAGTACATTCCTGAAGCCCTAAAAGAGCTAGGTAATCTCTTGAGACATAACCTGTAGAGGAAAGAATATACAAGCAGGCAGAAGATATGAAGACCTTTTCAAGTCTCCTTGCTACAATGGAATCCTCAGTCCTCCAAAAATGTGAGAGCCAGAGGAGTAATAATCCTAGCTTCGAGCTGCTCAAAATGGTTAATGACAAAGCAGACAAAATAGACCTAGAAAGAGTAATGAAATCCAAGGTGGATTACTCAGAATTCACTGATCTGGTTGAACGAGTCCAAAAAGACCAGAAAAATGGTATGAAACTCCTAACTTTATAGAGGAAGTCTTCACCTTGCTCAATGAGAAAGCAGAGATTGATCATGTCAATAAAGCCTTGACTGAGATCCATGATGAGCTTGACATTAAAGCTAACCATGAAGATATTGACAGCAATATCAGAGGTATTGAAAATATGATGGAAGCCCTCTGCTCAGAAAACTGCGTTGGGAGGTGGTACTGGAAAAGCGGAAATCTTAAAAACGACACCTGCATTCCTTGGGAAGAGCAAAATATCAACACCTGCCCTGAAAACTTCTTGTGGGAAGAGAATAAGACAAGCATCCTCACTGTATCCCCAGGTGTATATGAAATCAACTGCGCACTGTTTAGTGCTAAGCAGAAGCCTAAATTTGATGTCATGATCAATGGTATAAAATGCATCTCAAACTCTGGAGGATACAAGCACGAAGATGAGGAGAATAACAGTAAAATTAATAATGAATCAAGAGGTACGAACATTCCTTACCTTTAGAAAAATACTCAATCAAAGAAACTTACAGCTCATTCTATAACAGAACTTGGTACGAAAATGATGAGGGGAAGAACAAGATTGTTGGAAACGGCCTCTCTTCCTTCATAAATCTACCTGCGAACTCTCGTGTTTATCTGAATTACCTCGAGACAGACCATGCAGAAGGGTTCCTTAGCATGAGGAAGATATAGATTACTCAAATTATTCAAATTTCCACTCAAAACTAAAATTCAGCCTAAAGCTAATAGTGAGGGGTTTTGGGGTTTTGGGGTTTTGGGGTTTTGGGG